GTGAGTAGGCTGATTTTGACTTTATTTTGTGGCTGATTCGGTGGAAGATGTTGGGGGAGGGGGGGAGTGAGGTAATGCCGTCTATGATGGGTTTGGGAGAGAAGAGTCCACGTCATCTGTTTTGTGGCTGATTTTGGTATCATGTTTCAGTCCGTTTGAGAGAGATGGGTTTGGGAGAGAAGAGTCCACATCATCTATTTTGCTTATTTGGCCAACATATGTGCGCCAAATCACTTACACATCATCAAAAATTGTTTGATTTTAAGGTCGGTGATGGATTGGGTAAAAATTTACAAAGTTCGGTGATTATTTAAGGGAAATTTGAAGTTCAGTGACCTCTTAGAAATTTTTGTACAAGTTCAGTGACTGTATGGGGTATTACAAGTAAACGCTTATTTTAGGGTCAAATGCACGGTTTAAATCTTTATTATATTGTTTAAACGTCATGATTTTATTTTATTTTTTCAAATCAATTAGGGTTTAATTTTCGTTAGTTCAAAACTATTGCATTTAAATGTATTTTTGTTAATTTTCAAGTTTCCCTTCCAGAATTAGCTCATTGCGGCCATGCACTAAATTGTTTAAATAAGACAAATTGGCAGTGTGGAATCGACCGAATAATTCGTTATTTAATAAAATTTTGAATCTTCTTAATTTTTATTTAATTCTCGATATTCTATCAATCGGTGAACCTTATAGTAAATTTTTGGGAAAATCGCAGCAGCGATTTCTAACATTTCTAATTTTTGTAGACTTTATCCTAACTTTTATTTTGTGCCAGTGAAGATCCCTATCATTTCATAAATATGCAGATGAAGTCCAAATGCATTTGACTGTTAGTTGACCAAGAAAATTGAACTTCGACCAATTTCGACTAAATTGAGGGGTAAAATGGTACTTTGCATTTTCCTCATATTAAATAAGTTAAAAAATTAAATTAAAAATCCAAAAAAATCCAGAAATGGATTTCTGACAAGTGAGTTTGTGAATGGGAAAATTTCAGCAGCGCGAGATTGGGATTTGAAATCTTAGAAGCTGTATCGATTGTTTCCTTTTTCTGTTGAAATATCATCAGGAGATTAGACGCTTGAATAGTGCGAGTCAATCGATGATACTCCTCGACGATGGGTGTGATTAGAGGACGAGTTGAAGGGAGTTTTTGAGTTCGCAAGTTGGTAGTTTTTGGTGGTTATTCCTGTGATATATGATGGAGTTAGGGCTGGTG